GCATAAAGACTTTAAAATTTATTATTAAAAATATGTTATTAAAACACCCAAGAAGATATAACATAGGGATTTTATCATTCCAGTGTTTTAAATATTTTTTTTGTAGAAACCAGTTACTCCATATTGTTTTTCACCTTATCCCCAAAAAGAGTGCCCACAAGCCCTGGCTGGTTTGGTTTAGTGGTTAGAGCATCAGCCTGCAGACTGAAGGGTTGAGGGTTCGATTCCTGGTCAAGGGCATGTACCTCTATTGTGGGTTCAATCCCAGGCCCTAGTTGGGGTGCTGTGGGAGGTAACCAATTAATGTGTCTCTCTCATGTTGATGTTTCTCTCTTTCTCTATCCCCCCACCCCACCCTCCTCCCTCCTTCCCTTCCACACTGTCTGAAAATCAATGGAAAAATATCCTCGGGTGAGGATTAAAAAAAAAAAGTGCTGACAAGGGCTGTCACTGAGGCTGGGATTCAGATCACAGTTCCCTTACACAGCCTAATGGCAGGGCTCAGAGAATTCAAGCATTTGTTCCTGTGTTTTAGTTTCAGTTCTGCATCCACAGACATGTTAGACACGGCTGTTTGAATAGTCTTCCTTAAACTCTGTTTTAATTCTGCAGTTCAAGACTGTGGAAGCCAATTTCTTGCTTGCATTTCCTTGGCTTTGAAAGTCATTAAAATGCCTATTAGATGCTACCCAGAGTTAACAAATTCTTTACCTGGAGCCTCACACGGGGTTTGTCTAGTTCAGTTCTACCAGGAGGCCTCAGCAATACTCTTCAGTTCCAGGCCACAGGAGGAGCTTAGGCAGTCTCACAAGTGAGCCACGTGGTCAGGAATTCATATGTGTGTTGCTACATAAATTTCCTTGGGAAACATCAGTAAAATTCAGCCTATTAGCTGTTTGAAAGTAAGTATGATGTTGTGGCAAACAGAGGCCAACCAATTGGGTCTGTCAAAACCCATTAACTCAATGGGGTTTTAGAGTAGGGACAAGCTGCATGCGGTCATCCAGGCAAAGTGGAATCAACAGTTAACTGCCTGATTCTTTGGGAGCTGCTGAGTGGCAACTCCAAAGGAGTGTGGTTTACCCTATGAAGCTATCTGGACACTTAAAATGTCCTAATCAGATGAATATATTGTGTCATTTCAGATTTGCAAAGTCAAGTAGAGGGACTCGGGCTAAAACTTCAGAAGGCAGTGACCGAGCTGGACAGCTATAAAGAAAAGTTCATGTAAGATGGTGAACTTTAAACCACCTGTACGAATTTAGAAAATCCCCAGGGGTCCCCTGTGACTCCTCTGCAGGGATTCGGCTGTGTGGGTATGGTCACCCACTGCTCTTCTCAGCTATTTTTCTGGCCTAGATTGTATATCAAAGGACCTGTAAATATTTTTAAGTACATGAAATGTTTCTTTCCCTCAGTAAGAAATTTACCTATCCATCCATGTATTAAAGCTTTCCCTGGTCGTTCAAATTAGTAACTTCATGTGAAAGAGTCTCTGAGGTTTTTCTCTTATTGTTGTCTCTATATCACCTGCCCAGAAGAAACAATATTGAAGTTATTTCTTAAAATTATAAATTTTAGCCCTAGCTGGTTTGGCTCAGTGGATAGAGCGTCAGCCTGTGGACTGAAGGGTCCCAGGTTTGATTCCGGTCAAGGGCACATGCCCGGGTTGTGAGCTAGTTCCCCACTGCGGGGTGTGCAGGAGGCAGCCAATCAATGAGTCTCTCTCATCATTGATGTTTCTATCTCTCTCTCCCTCTCCCTTCCTCTCTGAAATCAATAAAAATATATTTAAAACAAACAAAACAAAAAAATTGCCAATTTTAGGTTCCAAAAGATAGTTGAAAATTTTTGAAATGTTGGAGTACTTACATGTTATATAAGTAATAAAATAATTGGCAAACAAATGATAAGAAAGTGCCCTTGTAAAATATTCAGAGCACTATTTTGTTTAAAAATGAAGAAATATATGCACCTCTATGATCATGGCAGCATTATTTACAATAGCCAAGATTTGGAAGCAGCGCAAGTGCCCACCAATAGACAAGTGGATAAAAAAGGTGTGGTACATTTACATAGTGGAATACTACTCAGACATAAAGAGGAAGGACATCTTACCTTTTGCAACAGCATAGATAGACCTGGAGAGCATTATGCTAAGTGAAATAAGCCAGTCAGAGAAAGACAATATCATATGATTTCACTTATATGTGGAATCTAATGAACAAAATAAACGAACAAAATAGAAACAAACTGATACAGAGAACAGACTGACAGCTGTCAGAGGGAGGGTGGTTGGACAGCTAGGTGAAAAAGGTGAAGGGATAAAGAGAAGGGGAAAACAAAAAACACTCATAGACACAGACAACAGTATGGTGATTACCAAAGGGAAAGGTGGTGGAGGGAAGTAGAAGAAAGTAAAAAGGGGATAAATGGTGATGGAAGGAGACTTGACTTGGGGTGATGAACAACAATATAGTATACAGATGATGTATATTATAGAATTGTATACCTGAAACCTGTATAATTTTGCCCGGCCAGCATGGCTCAGTGGTTGAGCATCACTTTATGAACCAGGAGGCTACGGTTCAATTCCTGGTTGGGGAACATATCCAGGTTGCAGGCTCAACCCCTAGTGTGGGACATGTAGGAGGAAGCCGATCAATGATTCTCTTTCATCATTGATGTTTCTATCTCTTCCTCTCCCTTCCTCTCTGAAATCAATAAAAATATTTGTGGGTGAAAAAACCTGTATAATTTTATTAATCAATGTCACCCCAATAAATTCAATAGATTAAAAAAAGATTTTAAAAATGAATTTCAGAAATTTCAAAAATTACTTTACAGTATAAATATAGCACATCTATAATTATAACACTAAAATAGAATTCATATCATCTTTTAGAGTAAGTAAATATTTTTAGTTTGTGGTATATAATCTGATAGCTCTGGTTTTCAGTTCTGATGTTTTAGAGATGAACCTCATCAGAAAAATAAATATTTAGATTGCTTAGCAACCAAATGTTTTGTATTGACCATGGACTACTCCTAAGAACAATATGTTAAAATACTCAATAAAATGAGTATAGAAGGAAAGTACTACAACATAATAAAGGCAATTTTTGACAAACCCACAGCTAATATACTCAGTGGTGAAAAACAAAGTTTTTCCTCTAAGAACAGGAACAAGACAAGGATGTCCACTCTTACCATTCTTATTCAACATAGAACTGAAATTCCTAACTGTCAAACAAGAGAAAGAAATAAAAGGTATCTAAGTTGGGAAGGAGAAGTAAAAGTGTCACTTTTTGCATATGACATGTTTCTTTATATAGAAAACCGACTCAAAAAAAAAACTATTAGAAACAATAAAAAAATATATAGTTAAGTTGCAGGACATAAATATCAATGCACAACAATTCATTGTATTCTATATACTAAGGATGAAATTTCAGAAAAAGAAATGAAAAAATCAATTTCTTTTGCAATTGTAGCAAAACAAGAATGAAATACCTAGGAATAAAGTTAACAAAGGATGTGTAGGACCTTCTGGAAATTATAAAGCATTATTAAAGAGATTGAAAATGACACAATGAAATAGAAAGACATTCCATGTTTGTGGATTGGAAGAATCAGCCTAGTTAAAATGTCCATATCATCCAAAGCAATATACAGATTTAATGCAATCCCCATTAATAAAATTCCTAACAACATAAGGAGAAACAAATTCCAAAAATGTGCTATCAAATTAATGTATATTTGGATTATTTGTAACAAAATAATTATTTTTGTAAAATAAGAAAAAACAAATATTCATGCTTTATAACATTGTGATTAATAGCACAGTAAATACAATAGTTCGCTTTCTGTGCATGGTGGCTAAGATTGAAGGAATGAGTGGACAGGGGGGTCCTTGGCTCACTAGATCCAGGAAGTAATTTTCTAGGTGAGAAGAAACATAAAAAAGAGACACAAGGTAGTGATTGCCAGAAAGAAAAATCATCTTTCCCCACCCTCTAGTAACATCAGGGAGGGCTTTGGCCATATGGATGCCTCCTGTGGAGAGAAGGTTTCTTGGAGCTCATGAAGTGAAGAGGGAACAGTGCAGGAATAGAAAGGTAGAGCTGGCACCTACGAGCTAAAATGGAGTGGAGTCCTGGGAAGTTAGTAGAGAAGATAAACACAGAAATAAACATACCAAGGACAAGGAATAAAGCTAATTGGTTGTGACATGCATTGCTTTTACCGAATAAGTGTGCACACAATTCTCTATATATTCAAGGAGCCTGCCCACTTAATATGAACACAGGCTGTGGTGGTATTTTTTGTTCATTGTGTTTCTAATATAATTTATAATGTGAGTGCTGAGAAATAGTAAGAGTCAGAGGAGATTAGAGTTGGAGGGAGAAATATATAACCTCACCAAAGTCCATCAAATGAATTACCTGGAGAAAATCACTCTACAATTGCACAAATGCTGATGCTGTTGTCTCAGTTTATAAAATGGGTGCTTCCTGCCTGCATAAGAACTTCTTAAAATGAGAGAATAGGAAGAGCATCCATTTTTAGAAAATTTGAGTTATCAAAGATAGAGCCACTTAAATGGTCCTTTTGGAAACCTTTCTCCGTGCTGGCTGTTCCCAACATTTCCATTTCTATGCCACTACCTTCCTTTACCCCTGGGACGAAGTGCAGTAGGGGGAGCATTTAGGATCAGAGCCTGGGGCTGCTCAGGACGCTCAGAGCTTAGGAGGTCCCCAGGCACATGTAAGTACTATTTTATTTGTAGAGTAAAGGCAGATTTGTGACTTGGCCATTGTTTTATGATAAATTAGTTGGGAGTCCAAAGAATTCACTCAAAAATTTTGACATACAATTTGTAAATGAACTGGAGGTTTTATATATATATATATCTCCAAACCTTCTGAACTTTCAGAAATTGGAAGGTACTGTGAAATCAGATTTATTTAAAATTTCAGTCCTCACCCTTTGTGAAGGATAGGGGTGGGAATGGGTTTCACATATCCAACTTAAGATGGTTCTTTTGTCATTTAAAGATTTTTAACTGTTTTTATATGTTTTGTGTATTTTTACTTAAGGGGGAGAGGCAGTTTTTAAATAGATGAACTTGAGGTTCTCTTTTACATAAGGTTTATAAGAAATTATATCCCAATGTTTATAAGAACTTGTTATGTATTGGAAAACAAATTTTATCAGTTAGGATGCTTTAGGCTACAAGGGACAGAGGTAGTGGTTTCAAGTTTAGTTGGTCCAGCAGCTCAGCAGTATCTCCAAGATCTTGCTGTTCCTTCTGTCTTCATCCTGCTGCCTTCAGCCTAGCTTCACCCCAAGTCTGGGTCCCTTGTGACCACGAAGTACCTGCAGTTCCAGGTGCCACATCCATATGTAACCAACCCAGAGGCAGGAAGGGCCTGTTTTGCTGGTGTCTCCTTGGAAGTGAGAAAAACTTTTCCTAGATTTTCCTCTTACCTCTCTGGTCATTCCTGAAAACTTTTTGCCTCCCAAATAGGTGGCCTGGTGGCATCCAGTGTCTGTCAGAGTATAGATCTTCTTTTTGCATGATCCCAAATTGAACAGGCTAACTTCACTTCATTCATTATTCATTCATTCAATGCAAGATGCTTACTGAGTGGTGATTATGTGGCATGACCATTGTGTGCAGGCACTAGATATTGGAGTAACAAGATTGACAAGCTCCAATAGAGCTATTTAGGTAATTTCAGGTAATGTTAAGGACTACAAAATATACAACAGGCATACTGGAATGTGAGTAATGGGGACGGTGGTATACTTTTGATGGAGTGGCATCCCTGAGCAGATGGCCTGTGAGTTAAGATCTGAGTAACAGGAAAGAGCTGGTAATACTAAAATGCTAGCATCTGAAAACAGAGAGATCAAAGGCCCTAAATTCTTGGAGTGAGTTTTACAAATTCAAGAAACATGAAGAAGGCCAGTTGTCGTAGACACACTGTGATTTCCAAAGACACACTAATGTCCTACTCCCTGGAATCTATGAGTATGTTACCTCACATGTCAAAGAGGACTTTGCACGTGTGATTAAATTATGGAGTTTGCCCAATGGACATGGACAACAGGGGGATGAGAGCATGAGGGGGGGGGGGGAAGGATGGGGATTAATGGGGGGATGATGACACATTTGTAATTCCTTAACTAATAAAGAAGTTAAAGATAAAAAAATAAATAAAAATAAATTATGGAGTTTGCAATTGGGAGATGATCCTGGGTTATTTGGGCTGGCCCAGTGTAATAGGAAAGGTCCTTATAAGAGGAAAGCAAGAGGGTCAAAGTCACAAACGTAGATGTGAGGATGGAAGCAGAGGTTGGAGTGATGTAATTTGATGGAGCCACAATCCAAGGAATGCAGGTGGTCTCCAGAAGCTGGAAAGGGGAGGAAACAGATTCTCCCCTGGGAACCGCCAGAAAGAACATAGCCTAGTGACATCTTGATTTGAGGACTTCTGACCTCTGAACCGTAAGATAATACACTTGGGTGGTTTTAAATCACTAAGGTTGTGGTAATTTGTTACAGCAGCAGTAAGAAATTACGCCAGTGCCTAGTGAGGAATTTGGATTTATTCAGAGGGCAGTGAAACACTGTTGGAGAATTTTGGATGAGCGAATGAATTGATCGGATTTGTTTTAAGCAGTCAGTATGGCTGCTACATGGAGAATGGGCTGGAGTGGGAATACAAGAGCAGTCAGGGAGACTAGGTGGGAAGCTGTGCGTTCATACAGGTGAATGTGACTGGTGTAGTTAGTGTAAGGCTATAGTGTGGAGACAAAGAGAAATTTATTTTGGAGGTCAGTCTGACAGGATTTACTGATGGAGTAGATGCGGCTGTGGACGAAGGGAACTAGAATGGAAAGGTGAAAATAAAGGATGGTGTTTGGGGTTTTTCAGCATCAAGGCAGACAGCTGAGAGGCAATAGAGCAGGGGTCCTCAAACTACGGCCCGTGGGCCACATGCAAATACAAATATTCTATTTGTTCCCGTTTTGTTTTTTTACTTCAAAATAAGATATGTGCAGTGTGCATAGGAATTTGTTCATAGTTTTTTTTTTTAACTATAGTCCGGCCCTCCAATGGTCTGAGGGACAGTGAACTGGCCCCCTGTTTAAAAAGTTTGAGGACCCCTGCAATAGAGTATAGTGACTAAGAGCCTAGACTCCAGGCCAGACTGCTAAGGTACAAATCCCAGCACTGCCAACTGGGTACATTACCTATCTCTCTGGTCTCCGTTTTCTCAACTTTAAGAAGGGAAAATGGGCTGCTTTGAGGGTTATGTTAGACATATAAGGTGTTACCTTTCAGTATCATTATTGTGTTGGTGCCACTTATTGAAGAGAGAAAATCTCTAAGAGATATGGATATGGGAAGTTTGAGATGTCTTTGGATACCAAAGTAGAAATATCAAGGAGGCAGTTTGAGAATGGCTATTTCATATAAAGGAGTGGAGTGGTATTGACCCTTGCCTTTCAGATTAGGGGAAAATATCCAATTATTTCATCTGATTCCCTTTGCTTTGATTGGCAGGAGCACCAGGGGCCTTTCTGAAGGCTCATTCAAAGCACTTGAAGAGAAAGGATTAACACTATTTGCTGAGAGTAAAAGAAGGAATGTAGTGTTTAAAGAAATGTAGGCATTCTTTCTAGTCCTTCCAATTTCTCCCATCCTAATGAAGGTGAAGATAACAATTGGGTCGTGAAGGGTAGACCATAGAAAGAATGGCTTAACTGGAGTGGCAGTGGGAGCGGACCATGGTGAGGGGAATTCTTGGGATGATAGGCTTTCTAAAGAGCAGGCATTAAAAAAAATGCAGCCAAGATCAATTGTCCACATAGTTAATAAAGTAACCACTAAAAGGAATTGCACTGTCCCTGCCTCTGGATTTGGAAAAGTGTGTACAAGAGTCTGAACCCAGAATGAAAGTCATGCTGGGGCTGATGAGTCTCAAAGCATTTTTTGAAGTAACATTTTTGTTTGATTTCAAATCAAATGTGTAAAACTTGGAAAATACAGGGATATATAAAAAAGAACATTGTAGTTATATTATGATATAGCCTTATAGTTCATTTTTCTAAATAATGTAATTTTAAACATATTTTTACTTAGTGATCTATGATCTTTCCCACATCATTACATGATACATTTATTGATTATTATTAAATGGCTGTATAGTATTTCAATCTACATATGAACCATAACTTATTTACTAATCCTTTGTTTTTTAGAATTTCCAAATTTTTCACTTTTATAAGTAAATTTTTTAGAAATTCATATAGATAAATCTTTCTACTCACAATTACTTCCTTAGGATTTTTGCTAGAACCAAATGTCATGTTTTTATGGTTTTTAATGCGTAATGACTTATTGCCCTCCAAAAAGATTATACAAACTTTCAGCAGTATTTGTAAATACCCATCTCTCCTAAACAACACTGGGTATTATAACTAAAAAAGAAAAATAAAGTTGCTAGTTTAACAGATAAAAAATTGTATCCCTGCATATGTGGCTTTTGGTATTCTTTCCTTTGTGACTTGCCTGAGCAGAGTCTTTGCCCACTTTACTAATGGCATGTTAATTTTTTCCTGATTCCTTCTTTCCTAACATTTTATTTGGAAAGTAGAGGCCTGGTGCATGAAATTTGTGCATGGGTAGGGTCCCTAGGCCTCCCCGCCTCCTTCCCTCCAAGCCTGGCTGCAGCTGCTGGTTGCCCATCATAGCGAGTGCTCAAATTCCCACTCTCCCGGTCAAACTCCTGAGGGGACAATTTGCATATTAGTGTTCAGGAATAAAATTTGGGTAATAAAACCCCAAAGAAAATCAAAGTGATAACCATAAAATTCACAAGGATATTTTTTTTAAGGGTGAAGGGACTTTGCTGGGACCAGGAATATGAAACTTCTAGGGTAGCTGGTAAAGTTTTATTTTTTTGGCCTGGATGGTAGTTACAAGAATGTTCGCTTAATAATAATTTGTTATATTATGTATTTTTAAGTGTAATTTTATATATCTTACAATTTTATCATATTTTACTATAAAAAAGGTTTAAAAATAAATGAATGTTATTCATGTGCATGATGTTTTAAAATCATTTTTTGGAAACTAAGTCATTCTGCAAGTAGAGCAAACCCATTGATAATCTAAGTAACATTTCATTGTTCAGTATAAGCTATTTTAAGGTACATTCGGATAATGACTTGATGAACAGTTTATATAAATTTAAATTGGAATATTAATCATTCTTCATATATTAACTTCTTTAGTATTGTTACAAAACCAATTATATAAGATCAAGACAAATGTTTATTTCAGTTTTAGAATTTCCATTTGATTCTTTTCAATAGTTTCTATTTCTCTGCTAAGATTTTTCTTATCTTTTCATTAATTAGAGTCGATTCTGTGGGCAGAATTATAATTGCTCCTTTAACAATCTTTGTGAATTTCAATATTTGGTTCAATTCAGAGTTATTCCCTATTAACTATCTTTTCTGTTGAGAATAGGCTATGCTTTTCTGTTTCTCCTATATGAGTAATTTTTATTCTGGACATTGTGAATGTTATGTTATGGAGATTCTAGATTCTGTTATATTTCTCCAAATAATGGCAGGATGCTGTTGCTTTATCAGACAATTACTTTGGCCTCATAGTTCCGTTCTTTTATCTTTAACTAGGCTGGTTGGAATATGCCCTGCGCACATGTAGTTCTGAGCTCAGCCAGACATGTGGGCAGAGTTTCTATGCAGCATTTGGGATCCTTCTCTCTGGCTCTCTCTTGTTCAGGGTTTATCCTTCACAGCAGCTGTGGTTTCCCCAAACACTATGCTCTAGTTCTTCAGGCCAGAATGACTGTGAGTTTGCTACCAGTTTTCTATCAGAATTTTAGTTTCCCCCACATGGTGCGTGTAGACTGGGCCTGTCCTCAAGTGTAAAATCATTAAGCAAACAAGTGAAAACCATGCTGTCACCTCACTCTGAGTGTTAATATCCCTCCAGAATCTGCCTGCTTGGTTACTTTCCAATACCTTCACATAAGGGTTTTTCATTTTTTTTCATAAATGGTATCCAAAGTTTAGACTTTTATTTAAATGGAGATCAGTCTGATAGGAGCTTACTTGGCCATAAAAGTAGAAATAATATGAAGATACTAAGAATGTTTTTCTAAATAAAATAATGATAAAGAAAAACCCTATAGTCACACTAACAGATTGGATTTATTTTGGCAAAGAAAAATCCTTAGACTATATATTTCTAATTTCAAGGAAATCTGCATATATAACCACAAATAGAATATAAAGATAAGAAAAGTAATAAATGAAAAACACCTTTACAAAAAGGAAAACAGCCCAATCGGAGTGGCTCAATTGGTTGAACGTTGTTCCGTGTACCAAAGGGTTACTAGTTGAATTCCAAGTCAGGGCACCTACCTGGGTTGTGGGTTTGATCCCCAGTCAGGAAGCAGAGGGAAGGCAACCAATCCGTGTTTCTCTCTCACATCAGTGCTCCTCTCTCCCTTCCTCCTTCCCTTGCTCGCACTCTCTCTTTCTCTCCTTTCCTCTCTCTAAACATGTCCTTGGTTAAGGATTTTTTTTAGAAAAGGAAAAACAGTTATAATTTAACTATTTTGAAATAAAATATTTGAGCCACATTTGTATTATTTTAGGAAAAAGTCTAATGAAGCTGATGACTGTCAAAGAGAACTTAGAAAACTGAAGTTTGAATCCGTTATTTTTGAATCAAGGTATACATTGCAAATATTTTAATTAATATTTTTTAGTAATTGAGTTTGAAACCACATTTAAAATAACGTTTTATTTAATATGTACTTTGGCTTTCTTATTGTATTGTTTTCATATATATTACCTAATTCAAGTTTATAATATCTTGAAGCTGTTTATTGACTTTTGCTTCTATCTAGATGGGAAAATTTTAATAACAGATCTAGTTCCTTAGCATTCTTAATTTCTATATGTTAAAGTTATAATCTATAATTTCAAATGAAAATTTCCATACTTTTGATAAACATGAAAATGTAGTATCTGATGCACATTGATGGATTTTTTTAATATATTTTTTAGGCATACTAGATTGCTTAAAGAGAAAGAAGACTCTTTAATAGCTTGTCAACAACTACATAAAACTTTACAGGAAGAACTGACTGCAAAAGAAAGGCAAGAAGAAGATATAAAAAGGAGGATTAACCTTGCAGAAAATGAACTAGAGACAACCAAAACTCTTCTGAACCAGACAAAGGAAGAGGTCATAACACTGAAAAATGAAAGGTGCAGTGAAGAAAAATTTCTTCCAAAAATAGTTAATGTTTATGTCAGTATTCCATATATATTTGAAACATCAAGGTTTTGAAATCCCAGGATTAAAGATGTATTTCACCTGAAAGGTTATTATATCCCATGACCTCACTTTACAGGGATCAAACTAAAGCTTGAATTTGTTAAATTTCTTGCTTAAAGTCATACAGTTAGCTAATGAAAGTAGAGTTGGAACCCACACTGGTGTTAGATTTTTATTGAAAAGATTAAAAAAGACCATGTGTGATACTCTACTGAATTTTACTTGGACCAATCACTGGTAGAGTCTGGCATTTTCCAGTAGAGAAAACTCTTCTTATATCACTTTTTCTTTTATTGATTTCTACTTTTCTTCTCTTTGTTATTTGTCAACACCTCTTATTGAGGACTTGCCATAAGCACAGTTACCTCTGGTGTTGAGGTAGTATCAAGGATGCTAAGAAACATATTCATCCAACCTTCCTAGATATTTTTGCCAATAGAACATAGAGCCCACACCTTTATGGTCAATTAATATTTGGCAAAGGAGGCAAGAACATAAAATGGGGTAAAGATAGTCTATTCAATAAACAGTGTTTAGAAAATTGGTCAGATATGTGCAAAAAAAAATGAAACTAGATCTTACACTGTCTTACACCATACACAAGAATTAAACTCAAAATGGATTAAAGAATTAAATGTTAGACTCAAAACCATAAAAATTCTAGAAGAAAACATAACAGTAAAATCTAGGACATTTCTCATAGCAATATTTTTTTCTGATATATCTCCTTGAGCAAGGGAAACACAAGAAAAAATAAACAAATGGGACTACATCAAACTTAAAAGGAACACTTTTCCTGATTTACCAACCCAGAGGGGAAGTCAGTTTTAAATTTGCACTGGCTCACAGAGCTGTGGCCCTCACCTGTGAAGCAGGTGTGAGTTTGCACATTTTCCACATAAGAAAATAGGTTAAGCGAGGTAAATTTCTCGCTCAAGATCCATGTGTCTAACCTTTATAACCCATGTTGCCTCTCCTACAGTTTGCACAATTCCCTCAGCATCTACCTTAAAAGGCCCGATTTTGTCAGCTTTTGTTCATGTGACCGCTGTTTCTCAACCATGTTGTAACATGGTCTTCAGGGGCCTCCCAGCCCTGCAGAAAGCAGAAAAAACGAGGGTACCGCCTTGGTGTCCCCTCTCCCCCCACCCCTTGCTTTCTTCCCCCACCCTTGCACTCTTTCAGGATTCTCCCACCCACTATAAATAAATATAGCATGGTGAGTTTTGTCTTCTACTCTCATGTAAAATCAGAAGTGGAGCTTACAAACATTTCACAGCACATTCTAGAGGAAGAGAAGATTTGTGTTCATTGAGGCTTGTCCTATTTTCATGGAGACTAGAAGCAATAAGAAGCATAGAATATAGAAAGGGAGTTGGAAGCAATGTCTTAAGGTTTGTGAGCTTTTGGTAGGGTGGCTTAGTATTTTTAAAAATGGACTTTAGAGTTAAGCAAACATAGGTGTGTATTTCACCTTGACCAGTCTCAAGTTTAGACAACTTAACCACTTAAAGGTTCATTTTCCTTATCTGTAAAATGGGCATATTAGTAACAGCTGTCTTCTTGTGAAGATTAACATATCTAGTATCACGCCTGGTAGATTGTCGGTGCTCAGAATGTATTAGTTCCCTCCCTATCATCGTTCCTTACATTGCTAACTCCTCAAAGATCATATCTTATTAATTTTTATACCCTGCACTTGTGATGTAGATATTCAGTAAGTGTCTGTTGAATTCAAGACTATCTGCCTTACTCTTAGAGTTATAGAGATTATTAGTCCATGGAGTGATTCCATTTGGATGCTATCCTATTAGTGTAAAGGATTATGAAATGAAGTGTCCTCAGGAATATCATTCCAAAATAACAAACCTCATTGGGGTTTTCCCCCCAAGACTCACTTCTTTCTCTGATTTCCTCTCCATCAACAGCTCTCAGAGCAAGAGGCTGACTTCTTATATCACAGACTTACTGCTTTTAACGGAGGCAGGAGTTGTGACAAAATCAAAATTATCTCTTTGATTGAAAATGTGAAGACATCTCCTTTAGAACAACTTGTGAAACAGAACTGAAAGCTGTCATTTGGCATTATGGTTTGACATTTGTTTGCAGTTACGTTTTTAACTACAATTAAGGGAATCTCGATGTTTGCGTGTATGCAAGAAATTAGATTCTCATTTTCTTTTCAGCCTAAGAACTTAAAAGTTAAAGTTTTAAAAATAAATAATCTTAATTGTGAGTAGATCCTAGTTTGCCTATTATCCTAAAACATTATTTTAAAAAATATATCTGGTGAAATTGCAGGGTAGAATGCTACAGATGGCCAGCTCTTCTCCCAAATATGAAAAGTGAAGGCAGCATTACATACTGCAGACAGTCCTAGGCTGGTACGAGCTGGAACCAGGTCTGCCTCCTGTGAATAACACCACTTCAGAAAGACACCGACCACTCAGGATCATAATTTCTTCTAAAAATTGGGAATTGCATTAATGTATTTCCAAAGACTGGCAAGAAAAATCTACTGTATCCCTAGAGACTAAAACTGCCTGACACCTGGTAGACACTCAATAAATATTGGATGTGTGGATGGGAATGAATTTAATCCCAATCAAACCACTGATCACAGGATTTAAAACTCAGAAGCCCCCAGTGTTTCAAGCTCAGAGAGTTTCTGACTTGCCAAAAATCAGAGCTGGGAGTTCAATTCTGTATTCTAGTGAAAATCTTGATTAGATTCTTAGTCAATCCAAATTTAGGACCCAATTTTGTGTTGTTTCCTATAAACCTAAAGCAGCAATATCTGTAGAATTGGTTCTAAAGAGGAAATTGGATAGCTACAGACATCCAAAAATAGCTGCACATTTTCAGCTTTTTATAACATGGAAAAGATGGAATATGTCTCTAACAATTGTGTTTCATTTCTTATCGTTTCTCTACACTTCTAGCAGAAAGGCCCACTAGAGTCCAAGCTGATTCTTTATAGGTTCTTTCAGATCAATATTGTTTTTCTTTATCAGTTTCTTTCTTTTTTTAAATCTATCTTCATTGTTGAAAGTATTACAGATGCCCCCTTTGGATTTGTTTACCCATTGACCCCTCTCCACCCAGCACCCACCCTTGATTAGCTTGGAACAGGCACTGACTAGTGCATATAGAGATGATTATATGCATGAAAAAGATACTCCTGATCCCCAAAATAAAAACCACACCTTATCAGTTTCTTTCTTTTTTTAAATTTATCTTCATTGTTGAAAGTATTACAGATGCCCCCTTTGGATTTGTTTACCCATTGACCCCTCTCCACCCAGCACCCACCCTTGATTAGCTTGGAACAGGCACTGACTAGTGCATATAGAGATGATTATATGCATGAAAAAGATACTCCTGATCCCCAAAATAAAAACCACACCTACATAGCACACTATGGAAGAGCTTGCACCTTGTCCAGGGGATGGGGAGGTGGGTAGGGAGAGGTTAACCAGGAAATGTATATGCATGCAAATCAAGGACAGTTAATTGTTTGCAATATCACATAGAATTATTCTTTCTGCCTTGTCCCACGGAAGACTCACACTGAAGAGCTTTTGGAGTTATGAGGAATCAAAGACATATGAACATCTTTATTTCTGTAGTCAGATCAAGCAAACTTACCATCACAAATGCAAGTATATAATTTTTATAACAGTTCACTCAAAACACCTTATATTTTGCACAAGTTCATAAGGAACTTAATAATTCTTTGAAATTTCAATGAAGAGTTAATACTTCATTAATATCGTTTCAACCTTGGCCTACTGTATTTTAGCTTCCCTAATATACTAGACTTTCCCAGTTTTGTTCTAAACGGATACACTTAACAGTGGGGTGTTTTGTACTGGGTTCATCAGAGAAAAGTATATGAAATGCATTCTACTTTTTGGTGGTATCAAAATTATAGCTATCTCACCTATCTATAGCTATCAAACCTATCTCAGTTTGGCTCAGTGGGCAGAGTGTTGGCCTGCGGACTGAAGGGAAGGGTTGAAGGTTTGATTTCGGTCAAGGGAACCGAATAGGAAACCTGGCTTTGGAAATAAAAGTGAATGAAATGGCCAGAACTCTGCTGTCAGGCCACTTCTAACAAGCATACGGCCAGCCACATCCATTCTATGATACTGACATTCTATGAAACCAGGTGAAGTACTGCTTTATTTCCATTGACCGCTGCTCCTTTTTTTGACCAAGTTCACTATTATAGATACTAATCTTATACTTGAAGTTTCATAATATCACTTGAAAGCAGACCATTGTATTAGTTTCCTATTGCTGCTATAACAAATTAACACAGACTTAGTGGCTTAAAACAACACCAATTTGTTATCTTATAGTTCTGGAGGTTGGAAAACCAAATTAGTGTTTAGTGACTAAAATCCAGATGCCAGGAAAGCTGGTTCTTTCTGGAGGCTCCAGGATGGAACCCATTCCTTTCCTTTTCTAGATTAGAGGCTGCTGGCATTCCTTGGGTCCTGGACCCATGAATCCAATCTCTGCTTCTGTCCTCACATCATCACCTTCCCCCACATTAACGTTCTTCTCTCATATAAAGAACCTTGGTGATTACACTTAGGACTCATCCAGATAATCCAGGATAGTCTCCACATCCCAAGACCCTTAATCACATCTGCAAAGTCCCTTTTGCCATATAAGGCAAATAGTCTATGGAGAGGATGAAAGTTGAGAAAGCTGTTTCCCAACAGGGCAGAATCTCTAATGCCCTCTTCTAATGTGGTCAACATAGACCAGTACATAGCAGAGAGGAAAGTCAGGAGCAGTGGAGAAAACTGGACTGAGAAATCACTTCCACATGAAAGAACCACAGACTAAGCAAAGAATGTTTCCCACCTCCAGGGCGGGAATCCTCATAGTGGCTTCCAGGAGGATCTCAGAGTTGCGA